CCGTTTTGCCAATTGAAATCGTACTTTAAAATATATATCCTTGTACTGGTAGGTAATCATATTTCTCTTGTTTTAGCTTTAAGCACAAAATATTTAGTACATATTATATACGTAATATTATGATATTTAAGAAAATATTGTTGAAATTTTAAGTGACCAGAGTTTCGCTCCACTTTTTTTAGCTGAATATTAAAGGCTGAGGAACCGGAAGATTCTCAATTTGGTTTTATGTTTTTTTATGGTGGTTATTTATGGTAACTTATTAAGATTGTATTTTTATTTGAAAGGGTTTCAATTTCCGCTTAGTCATTCTCTCATGGTGAAAATAAAGGAATGATGTAGGCGCTTTGAATTCGGTTATGTTTATTATTATTTTATTATGCTTATCTTTGTGTAAAACTTAAGTTTAATTCCTAATTTGTACATTTAGTGTTATAAGACAGTTATTTTAATATAATCTTTCATATAAATTTTCTTTTAATATATTTTGTTTTATTTATCATGATATTTAAACGGTGGGATGCTTCGATCGAAAGTGGCTTATATGTAACCACTCAAACATGGTTGCGTCCCAACAGTCTTGGAGATCCTAATGACTTATTTATTTAATTCTATCGTTATTTACTGCATGCACTACGCCGAAATTGTACAGGTATAAAACTGAACTAAGCAACTTATTATTGATATAAAATTCAGTTTAATCGAAATACGTTTATCGGTGGCCAAACAAGTCCTTGCACATTGTGACCGTGGACAGCTACATTTCATCATAATTTATTAATTACTTATAGGATACTAACGAAACTTCACATACATAAAAAAAAATGAGACCAATTACAAACTACAAAATAACGTTTTAAGTAAGTCTTTAGAGGTCTTATTCAAAGTGTCTAAAAACACTTCAATACGTCCTAGTATTTAAGTGTTTTTAGACTTGATTAAATAATCTTTTAAACGGTGCATTATTTTTGTTTTATATTGCACAACAAATTAAAACTAATTCTTTAGAAGTTATGTACAAAAGATGGTTAGAATTACGCTTACCCATTTCAGAGATCCAACAAACCCACAAACATTATTCCAATAATCTCGAATAACTTCGCAGCCAAAGAAAAAACAAGTAAATAAAAAGAAACTACGTTTAAAAAAACCGACTTCAAAAACTAAAAAGTATAAAATAACTTAATAAAGATTAAATTTAATACACCTCTTATGCAAACCTTTAATATTAATAAAATACTATTGTTTGTATGTGCTACCTATCGATAGGTTTCAATTCGCTAGTGATGTGCCGGATATCCGTATCCGTATCCGCGGATATCCAAGGGAGAAGAGAGATCCGTAACCGTAACCGTATCCGTGACTTTTTTGGCGGATCTTTCAATACATATTACATAGATGAAATTTTATATAGGTGATTTTGTATTCACTGTAAAACTCTTAGGTATGTGTTTGTAACACTATAAACAGCAATTTTTTTTCTGGCCAAGGTCAAAATGAAAAAAAATTGGTCCTCCATTCAAATGACCAATCAAATGTTGTTAGTTTGTATGGAGAAACACTTTCTTTTCTTTCGTTTTCGGTGTTAGTCCAGAAGAAAATTAGTTGTTTGTAATGTTACTAATATGCACTTCAGAGGTTTTCAGTAAATTTAAAATAACCCTGAATAATGGTTATTAGGTAGCTATGAAAAACTATTGTATTCTGTTCAGATTACTTTTTATTTCTTAAAACAAATATTTGGCACCTTTGTATTGCAATCATTTATCATACTAAGTACACTAAATCAACTAAGCAGGTCGTAGGCACTGAAAGAGCTATCTTTATAATGAGATCAATCAAACGTCTTTGTATTAGCTTATTAAAATAATGAAATATTTAAATATCAACGGCAAAGCGTCAAGTGGCGACAACTATCAAGGTCACGGGCTCCGATTGAGTAAGAAACTTAAGATCCGTATCCATATCCGTATCCGCGGATCTTGACACCAAATATCCGTATTCGGATCCGTATCCGCGGATATACTTTGTACATGATGTATATGCGGATATACATCACTAATTGTTACACAGCATTAAAATAGGGATAGGCTCTAGGGTGATGCTGAGAAGAAATATGGCGGTCTCTGATGGATTAGTCAACGGAGTAATGGGTGTAATAAAAAAAATCAAGTGGCCAGCACTTCGTCGTGACCAACTAGAAGCAGGAGAACTGCCCGAAGCAGTATTGGATAAATTTGATGACGAGACGGTAGGCACTAGGGTAAAAGATGCGGAGCAACATCTGCAACTTTGCAGGCCAATAAAGGTTACGTTGATGTCGAAATATTAATGCTGCCACTAATTTTAAGTTGGGCTGTCACCGTTCACAAGCTCCAAGGTACGACATTGGAGAGGGCGGTGATAAACCTCGGAAAAAAAATTTTGCAAAAGGTCAGATATATGTGGCTTTAAGTCGAGTGAAGAATTTAGATGGCGTGGCATTAAGTGATTTGGAACCATCTAAATTATTACACAAACCACATGATGACAAAGCACTACAGGAAATGCAACGATTAAGACAGTTAAATCTAGATTAATTTTACTTATTTTTAAAATTACTTTTTTATTTATTTCTTCGTTCCGAGATTTTATATGCAATCGTATTGGTTATAATATTTCTCAATTTCTAGTAATATATAATCAACTTTAATGAAAACTCCTAAAAAGGCCGTACACAAACTAAAATTATATCATCCAAGTAAACAATAATATTCATTAAGTAAAAATGTTCATAGAATAATATATAATCAACTTAAATGAAAACTCCTAAAAAATGTTCATAGAATAATATATAATCAACTTAAATGTAAACTCCTAAAAAGGCCGTACACAAACTAAAATTATATCATCCAAGTAAACAATAATATTCATTAAAAATGTTCATAAAATGAAAACTACTGGGCCTAACTATGTTAAATTTTTATGGGACCAAATGGCAACTATTCCGCATCAAACTAAAGAAGAATCACGTAAATCGGATCATAAATCTCAGAGTAATCGGTGTACATACATAAAAAAAAAAATACCAATTGAATTGAGAACCTCCTCCTTTTTGAAGTCGGTTAAAAATACGTTGCAACATTCACGTCGTCTATAATTGTATATTCTTTTATACTTCCTGCAAATACATTGCATAAGGCGGATTTCTTCCATAGGCATTTTCTTCCAGTCAACCTTGGGGTGATGCAGAGATTTGTGTGTGGCAGGTGTATAATGAGATAAATTATTTAAATTGTAGTCGGTTGCAAGATGTTATACTACATAGATATACTGGATATATATATATATATATATATATATATAGATGTTAATATAATTTATACGTACTATATAATAAAATAAATATAAAAAAAAAACATACATCCATACATGATGGTGCAATGATGAAGACACGAGGGGTGATGACTCCGTCCAAAAGGCTCCATAGATCTTGCGTACTCTGATCTTAAAGGTTGGTGGATGTCCTGATCTCTAGGGGAAGGGCGTTCCAAAGATTTACCGATTTACCGCGTATATCTTATAATCATTTCAATATTCCAAACAATATAGAAAATGTCTGGCTGCGGTAACGTTACCCCATCAGGAAAGATCGAGCAGTTCATTTGTAAAATAACTGAAAAATTATAAATGCGACATTTTTATAATTATGTGCGCAACAATTTCAGAAGCTTGGCAAGTAATTATCTATAACATGACTATATTCGCCATTACTTTTCTGGAGTAAAGTAAACCAAGTACTCATCGACTTTTCAGTGTATTTGGTAGTAAACGAGTGGACGACCACAGGCCAGCGGATCACCTGATGGTAAGTAACTATTGCCGCCCATGCAAACTGCAAATCAAGAGAGAGACGTGTGTTTCTCCCTTTGTCTCTACCCCCTATAAAAAGGGCGGGGGAAGGCTCGCAATCTCAATCGGTGAAAATTAGTGAAAGAATATTATTATTATGTTTAAAAAGACAACTCCCGCATTAGGAATACATTCCTGTGTCGCGGGGGACATTACTGATACTATAGACAGAACAACAATTTGTAGATCACACAAAGTGTCGTCCTATGTGGGGTTTGAACCACCAACCAGGCCGTGGGATCACTCATGTTACCGTGAGTGCCGGATGCTGGGACAATAAAACGACGTCCTCATTGAACGAAGGTCGACTTGGTGAGGGTTGGAAATCAAACACTGGATTATAATACTAAGTGCGTATAATATTCAGTCACAGTGCTTGTTGATCACTTGCAACAAAAAACCATTTGCCATCTCATCTAACGCCTGTAACGAAACCATAGCGCGATTCAGCCATGTTTGAGTCAACGTGATCTATCGAATCAACTGTTCAACTGTTGGTATTAAAATTTTTAATCGCACTTGTGTCTCTTGAGTTGCAGGGGCAATAGCCGGGGTTAGTCCTATACTATCAAATGGCCAGTTTACTTATCTTTACATCAGCATGTCGCAGTCCACTGCTGGGCAAAGCTCTCTCTACTTGCACTGCTTCTTGCATCGAGATCCTGTCATCTACTCTAACTCTTTACGTTCAATTAAATAGTACAAGATCTCCAAAATGAGTTGGCAGAAAGGTCACAACGCTAGTACCCGACTGTATTTCTATATTTATGTACTGTATGTGTATACTCGGGACTTCTATGTATAAAATATGTAGTAATGAATGTAGTTAGTAGAATGTAGTGTTTATTTTTGTATATTACTAAGTGAGATTTATAAATTTAATGTAAATAAATCAAATTTCTCGTTTTCTCTTGCACCTACCGCATATTTTTTCTACATTACCGAAGGTCGACTGGCAGAGAATGCCCAGGGCATTAAGTCCGCTTATCTACGAGTACAACTTCTGCATTAAGCTATTTTAAATAATTAATAAATGAAAACTACTGTTGAATATTAATAAAATAATGGGTTTCCTAAATCTATGTATTGAAAATTAAAGTTTGCATTGGTTATAAAAGTATGTTTAATTGTACAATATAATTATTTTTGCAATGTCCAGACGATGTTTTATGTGCATCGTCGAAATTGACGTTTTTATTTAAAAACTGTCTTATCCATGTTTCATGTTTATTATTTGAGATTATTTCCTCAGAATTTTGAGAATTGTTCTTATAAATTGTAGATAATTCAGACTTTTCGTTACTGTCTACATTATTTATTGTTCGTGTTGTATTTTGAGTTTGACTTGTAGTTAAATCAGTATCTGTCTCTTCTATATTCAGAACATTATTTCCTTTATTATTTACAAGGTCATATTTGGTTGAGTTGTCTTCTATTTCTACAGCAGGGTTTGTACCTACAGGTTCTTCGTCTGTAAGTCCATCATTTCCATTTGTCTCCTTGATAATATCAGGGATAATCTTATTTGGCGTATTTTCTTCAATTTTTGTTACTCCTGATTCAAACGCTTGTATATTTTCTGTAGTATCTAACTTTGTAATAACATCTTCTTCGCTTTGTTTATCTACTATTACATCTTCGCTTTTGGTTTTACGTCTTTCATTAAGATGTTTAGTGTCGTTCTCGTACAAATCTGAATTATCCTCATAAAATAATTGATCGAGATCAGAGTGATAATAATTTCTGAGTTTATCTTCAAGTTTCATTTCATCCTTGCTATATTTCTTTCTTGTCTCTGAATGTTTATCTTCTTTTATAATATTCATAAAATATTCTAACAAATGATCGAGTAACTCTGATCTGAGTTTCCGGATATTTGTTATATCCGATCGATTCTCTAAAGCTCTGTTATTATTGCCTTTATGCTTGAAGTCCGCGTTGTTCTCATTAGAGTCGTCATCAGTATTTATTGTGTATTTATAACTGGCTTCATTGAGTTGTAAACTTGTATTGGTGTCATAATCTATATCAGCGTCGCGTTTTTCATTTTTTGTATCGTCTTCTGTGACTTTGGTTGGATTTAATACTGCAGTTCGTCCATTGCTACGTTCATTAGACTCATTATCGGTTCTTCGTTGCTCTCTTTCAGTTCTAAGTTCTTCTTCTAATGAGACGTATTTAAGTTGATCAGTAGTGTCATATTTGTAATTGTTTTCAGATAAATCTGTGACATTGCTTAACGGTTTAGTGCAGATACCTTGAGCGTTGATCTTTATAGTTCTTGCGTTAATTTCCTTTGCAAAAATGATTATGATGAAGATTACTGAAAAATATTTTACTTATTACTTTTATGTACTTTGAAGTAATTTATTACGCATATAGGTTTTCAACCTTGTACATTTGAGCTTGTGGACTAGGACCGCCGTAAGTCGGGTAAACCTGAAATTACATGGTCCAGGTTCTCACCAGAGTAGGACGCCTGGTGCCGGCTGTCAGAGTGGTTTTTAGTGGAATCGCCACATACTCCGAGCGGGCATCCCCTGGGAGCCGAAGTTCCTAAGCTATTTTTGGCCCGTTACAAAAGAAAGTCCATTGTTAGAGTCCACATCTCTGCACCAACATGACAGCTAGAACGTACTGGGTTATCAGAAAAGTTCACGAAGTTTAGCAAATGCTGCACACCATAATTAAATGAATTGTTTAACACTGGTTTTCTGGGTTACCGGAGGAACTCTTAACCGGGGGACCCTCTAAACCCTCACCCCCCCCCCCCTCCTGTTCATAGGTTCACCCTGTGAACAGGGGGGGGGGGCACTAAAAAAGTGGCAACGCACTTGTGACTCTTTGGTTATAGGTGCCCATGGGCGGCGGTAGTAATTTACCATCAGGTAACCTATTGCTCGTTTGACCGCTATAAAGAACCTTTTGTTAAATTACATATTAGACATCGGACAAAATCACAGTGAACTGTGATTTTTCATTCGATTTTTGCGTACGTAGGTTAGGGTTGCTAGGTAGATAGGTTAGACGCTATTTATCAGTAAATCCAGTATTTTTTAAATTATTATGTAGGGAATGGTAGCTATAGTAGATTTACTGTTGAATAGGCGAAATAGGGTCTTTATGCATCGTCTGAAAACAGCTTATTGGCAACAACGCGTGACTAAGTAGTAACCCTCATCTACTTACGAAAAAATTGAATGATAAATCTATGGTCTTTGACAGTTCACTGTGATTTTGTGCCAGGCCTACAACTTACCTGAATTCATTTTCAAAATAATATCTAACCAATTCGACTTTCATTCGTGGCACTATGAAAAACGAATGACAAATATGAATGGCGTTTTAAAGAAGTTGGTCAAATTACTGAATTTGGCAAAGATTAAAAGGTAGATGTTCTACGGCATAAATATTTTCAACAAACGAGCGAGGGTCACCCTAAGGAGAGGGTAGATTCCTGGGTTTAAAATGAATTATTTCCACTGAATCATTAAAAGTAAGTTAACCTTAAAGTACAGCCTGAATCGCCCTCCATTATAAATTTTATGTACTTATTGTTGTTATATCTTCAGATCAACATTCAATATAAACGATTTGACAATAGGTAGGTATGACGTCACATCATAGTATTTCATACAAAAATGTACCGAGTTAGTTTTGGTGTTTAATAAAAAAATATTGATTCGACTTGACAGTCATGTTCCTGTGGAAACCTCCCACTCATGCAAGCTCTGCACTTATCAAAGCAAGGTTCTGACAAAGAAGTAGAAAACATTTTTATAATTTAAATTTTACGTAGAATAATCGAGCTAAAACGTCAGATTAATTGGACAAAATGTTTTTTATATGATTTGTTTCGGAGTTTGGATGTTTTCTATGTAGGTATAATATATGTGTATTTACAAAAAAGGTATATAAGTACGAGTATTCTACCAGTCAATCTAGCTTTCATAGTACAAGCTCTGCTTAGTTTGAAACTAGATGGCGTTGTGTTAGATGTCCAAAAATCGCCCATCCCTATTAAGAATGTAGGATCTGCAATTCAGCAATTTTACAGGAGGACGCGTCAAAGTTTAAAATTGCTTAATTTTGTGTATATATATAAATACATAAATTTACTTTGTTAACATAGCTATTTTAAAAACTATGAGGAAAAATTGACTTTTTGTTAAAGCTGCTGAAAAATATTGCTTTTTTAGGTCAATAGTAAAATAAAAGCAAAATCAAGAAAATTGCATATCCGACCTTCTTAATAAGGACAGACGAAATATTATATTAATTTGAGAAAAGATTAAGATGAGTCAACTACCGAATTTGAACATGAGCTTGTAGGAAAAAATTGTTTCTCAACATCATCATCATCATCAACAACCTTTAATAGTCCACTGCTGGACATAGGCCTCTTAGAAAGGAGGTTTTGGTCTAGTATATCACACTGGTAAAGAAAACTTGAAACAAGCCCTATTTCAAGTTTTCTTTCTCTTTGCAGTGCAGTTTTCCTGCGTAGCTTGCTCCCTTAGTCAGCTCTTACGACACCCATGGGATGAATAAGGGTGGTGACACTCTGTATTCTTGATCCGTCACCACAGAGACAAATAGTTCTTGTGAAACAGAAACGTAGTGATTCTGTACATATTTCAACTCACGTTTCACATACATATTAATTACACCGTGAATAATTTAAATTTCTAGGTCTGTGGTCAGTTGCATGACTAAAAGTGTAGATGCAGTGTTCTAAGAAAGTAACGAGGTACCCGAGCTAATCAATGTTGACGCTAAATATTATAAAATGTCATAATCGCACTAAGATCGTAATTGTTTTGTAATTCATTGAATTATTTGTAAAGTAATAATAATATTTATTTGCAAAAAATTGTGGTAGTCACAGTAGGTGGTTAACAATGTTCGGGGGAAGCCTTCTTTCCCCGGGATAGAGCTTGGCTTAGCGCGGCATGTATCCGGAGGGGACCTGAACAAAACTACTTAAAAATATTAGATTGATGACTAATTAGCTATTACATACAATATTTTTTTCTTTTCTTTTTAATAAGACAACTCCCGCATTAGGAATAAGTATGTAACATATATTAAACGGACACAAAGAACACCCAGACTCAGAACAACAATTTGTGGATCACACAAAGTGTCGTCCCATGTGGGGATCGGACCCACAGCACACAGTGTACTAGTAAGCGGCGTGGCGACCGCTTAAACCACTACGGCATTTACTACACTAATGCATTTTTAAAGTGATTTGACTGAGTAGAGTACTTTTTCAAAAAATCTTTGACGGAGTAAAAACACATTTCATTAAACTTCGATAAGATTCGGTAAGGAGATTTGTCTTTGTAAATAAATCGTCATTTTTTTAACAAAGATGGTGCACGGAATAAAATAGCGTAAACTTAATTGTACAATCATCTTTTACAAGAATAAGTAATTAGCCTACGTAAAAGCCCCTCCGAAGCCTACTGCTGTGAAGCGGGGACTTAAGGGATTAGGTGAGAATTTTTTTTTTGTTTTTTGACATTTAACACAACACCATCTAGTTTCAAATTAAGCAGAGCTTGTACTACAAAAGCTAGAGAATACTTAAATACTTTTTTTTTGTAAATACAACCACATTATACATAGAAAACTCCCAAACTCCGAAACAGATATTTGTTGATCGAACAAACATTTGGTCCGACGAGATCTCGGCACACTACACCACCAAAACTAAACCACCGCGTAAAAATTGGCCATGTTTGTATCGGACCCTGTACTGTTTCGGTCTGTTTAGTATATTCTTTTTACTTTACTTTGCAATCGTTTTCTTAAATTATTTATAGTTAATGAATTTTTATCTTAAAAGAAAAGTGACATATATCCCAATATAAATATATTTGTACAGATATAAAAATAATACATTTTATACAAGAGTTTCCAAAACTTTCTACTAGATGGCGTGAGTAGTTTTGACGTTAGCCTTAATATGGACATCTGGGATCTGTAAAAAAAGAAAAAAAAAATTCTGATTAAACTAAAATTGTGAGGTTTATTAATAAAGCACGAATACAGTGGTGACCGCGGCAAGGTAACTAGTAAACAGTTGTTTCAAGTAAGTATGTTCGTATTTGAGGGTCGTGTAGTAGAACCAGGGCTGGATGAACCATTAGGCAGAGTAGGCAACTGCCTTGGGGCCCCGCTTTTTCTGTTAGTTCCTGAGGAGTTGCACATCAGTCAGGTGATGCTGTGATGTTGTTACTCACAACCTTTCTTCGACTTACAAAGGGTTGAATCTTCAAAAAAGGGGGTCCGAGGATTGAATTGCCTAATGGCTAATCCGACCCTGATAGAACCCGTAAATATACAACATTCAACAAAAGTCAGTCAAAATCACGCCCAAAGGAGTCGGTTACAAACAAACATACAAACATACAAGTGAAGCTAATATAAAGCGTGAAATTATGTGTAATTATAAATTATACTTACAAATTATTCAATTCTTAAAACTCCTTTCTAATGAGAGGCATATGTCTAGCAGCGGACTATTAAAGGCTGTTGATGAAACTTACCTGATTTCCCCAAAATGTCTAGAGATTGGCACTTGATGTAATCGAGTACAATATCGTTATTGTGTTGGTTATCCACCCTCCCAGGGGACTTCACTCCAGGATCATCTATGAATGGAGCTGACAGAATACAAGGGTATCGTGAGACCACCTCAAGAGCTGGAACAAAATGTTAAAAAAATACTTTAATTTTACTCCGATTAGGTTGAAATTCAAGTAAATATACGATAAAACAAAGGGGCTTTCATGGATTAAACCATGAGTATTTATGTAGTAGTAATTATTTAGTAAGTATGTAGATGGAATATCCAGGCTCTGTGCTCACCCAGGACACGAACTGTCCTGGGAGAGAGCCTGGATTTTCTCATTTATAAAGATGTAGACCATCGTATTAAAGTTACATGGCTCAAGTGGAGATCGCTGTCCGTTAAGTGTTCGGAAAGAGATCTAGAAGGAGAACCTGAGCACACAGACAATCAATAACAGAGCTGTCTGGCGCAGTCGTACAAGGATACCCTACCCTGGTAGAACTTGGAATAGGGTTAGACAGATGATAGATGTAGATCAAATATTTAGATTTTTCTGAAAATTAACAAAAAACTCAAAATTAATGAGATTGACATAAAAATTCGTGTTTTTTAGACATGGCTAACTGGCCTGTTGATCCGGGTTAATGGTCCATGTGCCAGATATGCCTGGGTGTAATTTATCAACAATGTGTATGTATTTAATAAAAATATGTGATATCTTTACCAGTGGTCTCGTTACGGCTCTGCTAAGCTAAGAATCGGACGCTTGTGTGTAAAATGTTTCATTCTCGTTAGATTTTATAAAAATGAATTTACACAAGACATAATATGTTTCGACGAATAATAAATGTTATTTTACTTTATTCTACTAGCTAATAAACATATTCTTAGGGTCGCCCTAAGCTCAGGTATAGAATAAAGATTCCTGGTTTTTCCACGATGTTCCTTTAGGAAAAGAGTGTCGATTCAGTCAGGTTGTTACGAGATTTAAAGGAAATGTTCATAAAATTTTATAATCCCAGCTCGGCATATATATACATGCAGAGACGCGGTGTGGACATATTGAAGTCATCGATAAAACAAGTAAATAATAAGTGCGAACAATAGTCCACAGTGCAAGCGAATATCAGTAAGATTAGTGGCTTATTGGAGAATAATACAATTTCTTATGTTTACAGAAATTAACGCGCTCACGATAGGAATTTAGGTTTGAAATGCCTGACCCTTCAACCAGGTTGCACTGACCCTGGTAAATGCAACCTAGTTCAGCGGTGCGCCTCATCCGCGAGTCTGCTAAGTAGAAGTTTCTTCATTCACCCGATCTTTGATATTACTGATATTTTCCTTTTGACATATATTAATATCCCTATTTTCGCTATATGTAATTAATACCTACCGTGAGTGCTTTAGTTCCTGTAAATTTGATAATAATTATATATTATGAAAGTTAGTGGAGAATATTGCGTTAATTATAACTTAAATGAATTGTTTATTTTTTCGTTTCGGCTATGTGTAACATTTATCTTCACGCTTGTCTGAAATCCGAGGCAAAAATTTCGTGAAAGAGGACGGATATATGTAACAGAAAGTAGGGGGAGCCCGCGCTATTTTATTGTCGTGGTTTCTTCTCGTATACCCCAGCTAGGGTCTCGGGGTGACATCTCCAGGTCTACGGCCTGTCCGAGTGGTGTTCTGCGCCGCCTGCCACTGCATGCGGGTCACTGGGTCGGGCCCAGATGGGCCTACTTGGTAGTTCCAGGTTGTCAGTCCAGTAGGGGGGCGAGGGGCGTGGTTAACGAGGTCGAGCCCGTACGAGTGAGTCCCGCTGGCGACCAGCTTGCTAGCCACGCCCGGGTCTAGTCTAGTGCTATTTAATTCCACTTATAGGTTCTAGATGGCCGATGGATTGGCCTTCAGATGGCAGCTCTGATGTTAGATCATCTGCAACAACTGATATTCGACTTACTTTCCTCCTCGTTCTTGCAGCAGTACTGTCTCAAATGACAAGTCGACAGGAAAGTCTTGTATACACCGTGCAAACATTTCGCACAAATCATTTGGGTGTGAGCTGGGCATGAATCAGGGCATTTTTCATTATTTTCCGGAACTGTGAATGTGAAGAAATAATTACATAAATGTTCAAATCTTAAAATCTCAAATCTTATGGTATATATCTCTTATGAAAGTTAATGTTTTTGTTTTTTTTTTATTTTTATTATGTTCTTCCTACAATTCAAACCAGAAGAATGTGCATTCTCAGCTGTTGTTCTTTTTATCATAATAATAAACATATTTTTATTTGACGACCGGATGGCATAGTGGTTTGTGTAACGGACTGCTATTCCAAAGGTCGCGGGTTCGATACCCGCTCAAGTCAAACATTTGTGTGCATGAACATTTAATGTTTGATTTGGTCTGGGTGTTTCTATGTATAATATGTATGTATTTACAAAAAAAAGTATATATGTATTTATATCAGTTGTCTAGTAGCCATAGTACAAGCTCTGCTTAGTTTGGGACTAGATGGCGTTGTGTGAATGTGATAGAATATATTATATTATATTATTATTATTAATTTATCATTATATTATAATATGATTCTTACATGACTCAAGAAGAGAAGAAGAAGAAGCTTTCCCTGTTAATTTATTAAAGAAAACATTAATATTTATTAAAATAAACATTTAATTTATAGGCGGCGGTAGACGAAAAAAACGAACGACGGCATTCGATCATCGTGATTCATTCGATATTAAACTTATGGATTAACGGGCGTTGTTCCTATTCATCATCATCATGGGGTGCCATCCTCAAAATGAAGTTTGGAGGTCAGCAAACGGTACACCTCTCGATCATGAGCGGCCTCCTTTAGTTGGCGATATCGCAGTCCTCCAGGCCACGATGTCATCTATCCACTTCCTTCGTGGTCGGCCTGGTGTCCTCCTGCCTGGTATTTTTCCTTCTAACAGAAGCCTCAGGAATTCATGTTGCGGGCCCCTTTGTATGTGTCCAAAGAAGGCCACCTTCCTTTTCGCTATAACAGCCATCAGTTCTCTCCTGCACTTGGCTCGCTCCAGCACCTCTACGTTGGATGTAAAACTAGTCCACGGTTGTTCCTATTACACAAGGGTTCTTTGACCAGGCGAGGTTGTAATCACCTCACACATCTCACACACGGCCCACCTATCGGTGGCATGTCGGACTCGAACCGACTAAAACCGCACGCCGTCTCGGGTATAGCCGGGGAATCAGGTATACCCTAGAAAGGCAGTCCCTGGTGACACACGGCCCCCGGCCCGGCTAAGTGTACATTTACTTCACATTCACTCGATCGTCACAGTTTGAAGTGAAATAAACTCACACTAGGCAGATCCTAATAACATGAAACACCTAAGACTTCTTCGTTGTATCCACCCTAGATAAGTTGCAAATAGTATATTTTACAGAAAGCTTATCCATATCAACAGCCTTTAATAGTCCACTGCTGGACATAAGCCTCTCCTTAGAAAGTAGGTTTATCCATATAATCCATTGAAATATAACCTAGAGGGTACAAGAGCTCCAATCTTGCAATATGGGCCACGAGAGATATTGATAATACTTAGTTCCCTCTATCTCTTTCTAGCGGAGCTCTGTGGTTGGCTGGGGAACACGAGGGGGTTAATAAGTAGGCAATCGCAGCCAAGCTAAGCAGTGACAGACGGAAATATCGTGCATCCTTCTCTCTCGTTGCCTGTATCGCTTCCACTTACAGGCAGCTGTACTTCGTGTTCTCTCTATGATATAATCACTACGTCAATTACCAGCTGTTGGTTTAATCGCCATTTTGTTGTGACAAAAGCGTTCGTCAGACGTGTCATTCGATTCGGCTACCATTGCTAAAGTTTTTTTTATACCCTTAGTCACGTGATATTTCATTGGCTATGTTAAACCTATACATTTATTTTTCTACTCTACTGTTATAAAAAATATTATGTATTATTATATCTCTGACAGATGACAGTAAATCTTCTAAACTAAAAAAAGTAGCCTAAGTTACTCTTTATGTCATTAGCTATCTGCCAGTGAAAGTCCCGTCGGAATCGGTCCAGCCGTTTCAGAGATTACCCGGAACAAACAGACAAACAGACAGACAAAAATTGTAAAAAAATATTTTGGCATATGTACCGTGTAAACATACATATGCATTTAGTAAAAAGCGGTTATTTTAATATTACAAACAGACACTCCAATTTTATTTATTTGTATAGATTTCTATGGCAGAACAACGTAATGGTATGACGGGTCGGCTAGTATTGTAATAATAACTGGATACATCTAACAAAAACGTCAATCACAAACTAGGCAGAGCCTGTGCTATGGGAAGCAGACTGCTGATAAATATTCTTATATATTTCTAACCACACATATTATCAGGATGTCAGGATTGCTAACCACTAAAATTGTTATGTCTGCCTTATTTTATTACATGGCTATTGCTGGGTTTATTTTATTACATGGCTATTGCTGGGTTTATTTTATTACATGGCTATTGCTGGGTTTATTTTATTACATGGCTATTGCTGGGTTTATTTTATTACATGGCTATTGCTGGGTTTATTTTATTACATGACTATTGCTGGGTTTATTTTATTACATGGCTATTGCTGGGTTTATTTTATTACATGGCTATTGCTGAGTTTATTTTATTACATGGCTATTGCTGGGTTTATTTGATTGCCCGCGTCCTTGCCTGATTAGTTAGTTATTCGTGTTTCTAACTTTTAAAATTAAGAAACTTTCATGCAACCGTTCATTCCTTATTTTATCCCCTTAGAGGTGTAATTTAAAAAAAAAGCTTTTCTTAGTAGGTGCTTACAACATAAAAAGCATAGACAAATTTTTAGTTTGTAGCCCCAGCGGTTAACGCTCTGCGTTTTTAAATCAGTCAGTTAGTCGGGAGCTAATTTTATGTGTATTCATCTGTGTTAGTCTCACCTGACAGTTTTTCTGTTACGTTATTCTTGGCCTTGAGTTCGAGTTCTGCAAACGCATTATTATTTAGTACACGATGATTTAGTAATTCATCACTTATAATCCTACAAAGACCGTAGACAGCAACAAAGTAGGCGTTTGCGTTGTGTTAAATAATCAAAACGCACATAAGCGCGCCATAGTACTAAGCGCTTGTAACGCCCGTCATCCAGGACTAGCACGCGGTATCATTCGGTGTTTAAAATAATAAAAAAAAAAGTAATAGGTTGTCTTTGGAATTTCATCAAATCCGCGAGGAGGCTACTTCCGCGTGTGCCGGACGTCGCCTAAATAGAGAATGCACCCGAAGGTGGTGCCCGCGCCGTTGCGGGCAGGCGCTAGGAGGGGTCCGGATGTCTTAATAACAGCAGTGCCCGGATCCCTCTTATTACAGGCGCAGAGTGGCACACCGTGTGGTTTTAGTCGGTCCGATTCCGACACACCACCCCGCCGCAAACCTCGGTGGGGTGACGGCCCGAGGGGCTTTCCACACGTAAAAGAAATGGTATTTCATCAAATAATAAAGTTTCGAAAAAATCGTAGATTCGGGACTGACGGCCTTAAAATAAACTGGTATTAAACAGTTTTTTAGTTGCTATTCACCAAGTGCGTGAAGCTTCTGGATCTCAAACCCTTGATGTTGTGAGGCTCAACGGATGTCAACGTACTTGCGACTATCGAGTTGTAAAGTCACTGTGCAGACATTTACCGTCAGGTCACCCGTCTGCTGGTTTGCCCTCCTATCATCAACAGCCTTTAATAGTCCACTTCTGGATATAAGCCTCTCCTTACGTTTTTAATTTTGTAAATTTTACCAACTATGTTTAATTTTTTAAGCCCAGATGAGATGATAAGCGTTGTATCTGAGTTTGCATGTGGCCGCTCTCTTCCATGAGGAATAAGAGTGCTAAAGATATCTAATTTCCTAACAGGAGTAGTGTCTAAATGGCCTATGATCTTTAAATGTTAGAAGAGTCAAATTCCGAGTCTTATAAAAAAAGCCGTGTGGTGTCGTGGGACACCCGATAGGAACGAAGTTGTGACGATCGAGTAAAACTGATTCGACACGATTTTAATTACAGCGCCATCTATAAAAGCGGCTATTACCTACATATTTTTCAGTTGGTTATTAATACATTGGTAAAATCTCATTGAGAAATGATTTCCTATCTATTAGATAGATGGCGCTGAATGACTGACAAGTGACAATTCAAAATAAATACTGAGATGAAAGTAATGATTTCCTATCTATTCGATAGATGGCGCTAAATGACTGACATAAAAAGTGTCGTTACAACTTTTCGTGAGAATTTTTCCCGTCTCGCCCCCTTTCACAACGCGCGATAAGGAACTTCGTTCCAATAATAATTAGACATTGAAGTATTACATAAAATTAAAACTTCAGCAGTGAGAATGAAAACAAAAGTAACAGACTATATCGGAAGAAAAGATTAGTTTTTATAAGTCTAAAATGGGTGTGGTGCGTTAACATTTATTTTGGGACTCGCAAACGCGTTCGTGAATATTAATTTATAACCTACACGCGTTCGTCAATATGTCTTACCTCCTAGCTTCCCCTCCATTTGCGATCCCTGACCATCATAGTAAATGTCGTCTGTATGTACTTCATAACCGGCTTGAACTGAAAGAGTAATTGTTGTTATCATTTCATGTTCTCGTACCCAGCTTGGGTGTAGTAGATGCGTGGTCTCGTGACGGCCATCGGAGTGTTGATTCGCTCGCTCGATACCATGATTACGGCTGTGGTACGGAGCGAGAACGCGTGGAACTCCGCCACCTCTGTGAACAAGTTATGCTCGCGGAGGAGAGAGACCGCCAATCCTGATAATGGGAGGTTCAGTCACTGACTGCGGCCGGGGTGGCGACCAACATGCATAGTATAAAAGTTTCTTAAACAGGCTAAAATGGGTTTGTTTTTAATTGCGATGGTTAATTTTTCATTGAGTACTGTTATTAATTTTAAGTATGTGATGTAAAAGACAAATATAGATTTATTTATTACTTTTGGGGATTGCAGTCACGTGTTCTTGGACTTACCTGTAGTCTTTTGGAACAGATTGAAATCTTCTTTATCATCGTAACTATAGTGTGAATGTATCTCGAAAGCGCCTTTAACACAAAATAAAAGTTGCTGTTAATTTAAGGTAAAAGTTAGGTTTAGGTTGAAGGTACATTAAACACCGACGCATTGGCGCGGCTGCTGCCCAACATGAGGGGACCCGATGACTCCTGCAGGAGACTCTACTCGGGAGTTGGCCAGCAACGTCGTACCACTGCGACGCAGCGAGTTTTTGGCCATCAGGGTCATAGGGGGTACCGCACGATCTCCTTTGAGACGGCGAGTCTCCTGGCCGTAACTCCACCATGGAACCTGGAGGCGAGGGCCCTTGCAGCTCGTTATCAGTGGCTCAAGGAGGCGCGGGAGTTGGGTCGGTGTCCTGAATCTCGAAAAATCGAAGATCAGAAATCCCAACTACGTCAGGTCCTCGTGGAGGAGTGGAGGTTATCGCGGCGGTTAGACCCGTTATGGAGGATTGGCTCGAAAGGCATCAAGGAACCCTCTCATACCGGTTGACGCAGGCCATCACCGGGAATGGATGCTTCGGAGATCACCTGTGTCTGATCCGCAAGGAGCTAACGGCCAGGTACCGCAGACGACTCAGGCGCCGGAGGTTGCAGAATGACCTCCGTCATCCATAAGCGCAGGCCTGGGGGTGGTAGGTGAGGGCATCTGTCACCCTAGCAGAAGCAGTCTGGGGTGATGGCGAGACGCGCTGCGGAGCGCGCGCGCCCCTTCGGGGCTCCCACACAGTAGGAGGTAATTTACACGCCGTAGATGGCCCGAGGTACGTCGGGGTATCAGGGATTTTCTTCCTAGGGTACACCTGGTTCCCCGGCAACTGGTACCCGAGACGGCGTGCGGTTTTTGGTCGGTTCGAGTCCAACATAACCACCGGTGGGTGGTATCCAAGGAGATTTCCGCACAGAAAAAAAGGCTATCATTTTCTTTCTTGAATAACACTTTAAACTCTACAATTCGACGAATGTTTTATCACTATAACATATTGTCACAAAGAAAATCACGCACATTCCAGAAGGGTCGAACGGCCGTACTATTCCGGGAACCGTTTAAAAATAATGCAGTTTGGCACGGAACCATAAGTTCTATACCAATTCGCATAAGATTGAATATGGATTGGAATTTGCTAAAATGATCTTATACGAGTATTATAAATACAGACACCTCTTATTTGGAGTTAGTTCAGTTCGAGCTACAGTTCGGGTTAAAGGCACTTCTGACACTTGAGTTGCATTTGTTTATTGACTGCACGGATGGCGTAGTGGTTTAAGCGGTCGCCACGCCGCTTCCTACTACGCCAAGTGTTGTGGGTTCAAACCCCACATGGGACGACACTTTGTGGGACCCACAAATTGTTGTTCTGAGTCTGGGTGTTCTTTGTGTCCGTTTCATGTATGTCTGTAAAGTCCCCCGCGACACAAGATATATTCCTAATGCGGGCGTTGTCTTTTTTTAAATTAAAAAAAAATTGTTCATGGACGGCGGTAGTGACTTACCATCAGAAGGCCCGTAAATGAAACAATAGAAATTAAACAGCTTACTTTTTGGTTTTACACGATTTTTCAGTGCCCTGACCTGTTTATCGTCATAGATGTCTTCTGCGTTTATCCTGAAGCCGGTATTACCTGAAAACAGGCGTTGTTATTTTAATGTTCAGGCCAACTTGACACATATGACTGCCATTTGACTGCCTCCGTGGCGCGGACCAAATGTTTGTATGATCTGCAAATATTTGTTTTGGAGTTTTGGTGTTTTCTATGTATAATATGAATGTATTTACAAAAAAAAAGTATATAAGTATTCTATCAGGCAATTTAGCTTTCACAGTACAAGCTCTGCTTAGTTTGAAACTAGATGGCGTTGTGTCAGATGTAAGAAATATTAATTAATTAAAAAAAAAGGGCTAAGCTCAACCGGATTGATACCATGGCATCACCAAAAACCACGCTTGATTCTGGAACGGGTGACTTTTGAGTTACAGACCTCTATGGGCGAAAGTAGTCTCTTTCTGGACCGGGCAAAATTTTATAGGGTTTTTCTGAGAGGAAAAATAGCCTCAGTTACTCCTTACATAGACAGCTACCTGGTAGTAAAATATTATCAATATCGGTGCAGCCGTTTTGACGCTTACCCCGAATAAACAAACAGACAAAAATATTTAAGTTGGTTTTTAGACATAGGTAACAAAGAACCGTGTGACCATGAAAAAAACGAAAATTTGACATTACAAACAGACACTTCAATTTTATTTATTTGTATAGATAAATTACACACAAAAACAGAACAAATGGTCATCACACAATTTTTTGTCCTGGGTGGGAATCTAACCCACGACCTCTGGCTTTGCACCAAGGTCACTAACCACTAGAACAGTCAGTTGGACAGTTCGTTAAAATCCTTAATTTTATAAAAAGCAGAGAAAATAAAGTATATGTACCTTCGTAAGAGGAGTAGTCAGAGGTGTAGTGACCTTGACCCTTCTTCTTTGACGGAACTCCATCTGAAGAAGAATTCGTTATTTAATTAAGTAGGTAGTCGGTCAGAAGGTCAGTTCTCGTAACAAATACTTTTTTTTTGGAATACAAAGAGTTTTAAAAATTAAAAAAAAAAAAAAGTTTTAAAAAACTAAAAATAATGCTTTCTATAGAAAACCAAACTAAAAAATAACCTGAATTCTGACCGTTTAAAGTCAGTCAAAATCACGCCCAAAGGAGTCGGTTACAAACATACAAACAAACATACAAGTGTAGCTAATATAAAGCGTGTAAAAACTAAATGGTAAGAGCACATAATGTAGCTAAAAACCAATTACATGTTTTCACATTTAAATTACTATTAAGACATTGTTTGTTAAAAAAAAAGCCGTGTGGTGTCGTGGGACACCCGATAGAAACGAAGTTGTAACGATCGAGTAAAACTGATTCGGCACATTTTAATTACAACGCCATCTATGAAAGCGGCTATTACTATTATATTTTTCAGTTGGTTTCTAAATAAAACAATTTATACATTGGTAAAATCTCCTTGAGAAATGATTTCCTATCTATTCGATAGATGGCGCTGAATGACTGACATAAAAAGATAGAAATGAAAATATCTGGCTTGCTTTCTATAAGAGAGAGAGAGAGACAGACAGAGAAACATGCGACGCCGCACAGCTTACAATAGCTTACTATAGCAAAAAGTGTCGTGACCAATTTTCGTAAGAATTTTTTCCGTCTAGCCCCCTTTTACAACGCGCGATAAGGAACTTCGTTCCAAAAAGAAAAAAAAACAACTACAACAATTGCAATACCCTAGTATCACACATAATAAAATCCTATAAAGTATAATTTATGCAGTTATTGAACCAGTTCGAACCAATGTTTGGAAAGTATTTGATTCAATACATTCGGCTTAGTAGTGAATCCGTGTGGTGACGGAAATCCGTGTGGTGACGGACTAAGAATACAGAGTGTCACCACCCATATTCATCTCGTGGGTGTCGTAAGAGGCGACTAAGGGAGCAAACTACGCAGGACAACAGCACTGCAGAGAGAAGGAAAACTTGACACTAACCGTATACCAACCCGTCATGCCAGCGTGGTATAGTAGGCCAAAACCTCCTTTCTAAGGAGAGGCTTATGTCCAGCAGTGGGCTATTAAAGGCTGTTGATGATGATTGATGATAGTAGTGAATAAGTCAAGTTCGAAAAAGTCGACCAACTTATTGCAGCTTGATGTTATAGACTTTTTGATGTTTGTGCTGCACAGGGGGACGTTATATACGTTCAAAATTCAGTTCCGATCGATCTCACAAACATCATAAAAGTATTCTCGTAGTAAAGTATTTAATATTCAACGTTGACTGTAATGTTGAGTCCCTTTCGAGATCAGGATGGCAAAAACTCGGAAAACTTTAAATATCTGTTGCGGAAACATCTCTTAAACTCATTATCCGATCTGCCTTAATACCTCTCTCTTCTAGAATTTATTGTGTGTATGTATATCATCATCATTAACAGCCCTTAACAGTCCACTGCTGGACATAGGCCTCTCCTTAAATTTGAGGTTTTGGCCTACTACTTGTACCACGTTGGCCAGACGGGTTGATATAGGGTTTGTTTCAAGTTTCCTTCTGTTTGCAGTGCTGTTGTTTTGCACAGTTGCTCCCTTAGTCGGCTCTTACGACACCCACGGGATGAATAGGGGTGGTGACATTCCGTATTCTTAATCCGTCACCACACGGACATTCGTTCACGTGAGCGCATTTAATTAAAAAAAAAATCATAACAAATACTTACGCACTATATGTCTTTTAACCCGACCACGACCTGTAAAATGCAGAAAGATTTCAACAACTTAAAAGTATACCCCCTCCCCCCAGTCATATTTGTTGGCCATGAAAAAACCCTAGAAAATGTTTGTTTTTTGCGATTACTAACTTGTATTTTGCAGTTGAAAAATTGACTATGATCTTTTGACCATCGATTGATTTTGAGCATTAACTAGGTTTTACCTTAGATCTCCGCCATTAATGACGCGATTTGAAAAATCCTTTTTTGTATTTGGAAGTATTAATATATCCTTCCAGTAGCATCATCATCAACAGCCCCTAACAGTCCACTGCTGGACATAGGCCTCTTTACAATGAAGGTTTTGGCTTACCATACCACGCTGGCCAGACGGGTTGGTATAGGGTTTGTTTCAAGATTTCCTTCTTTTTGCAGTGCTGTTGTTTTGCACAATTTGCTCCCTTAGCCGGCTCTTACGACACCCACGAGATGAATAGGGGTGGTGACACTCTGTATTCTTAATCCGTCACCTCACGGACGGTATAGTCCCATTTAAATTTGAAGGATAAGCTACGCGACGCAACGTGTTGACACCTGATATGTCCCGTGCACATTACCGACACACGATGCCACGACATACTAGCAATTTCTGAGAACAGTTAGCTGGCAGCAGTGGAAGTGTATAGTTGTGTGCTCTGAATAGTCGAGTGGCGTGTTTACCCCCAACCAACGGCAAAACATCGATCTGGCCGGTCTGATTCGTGTGGCGTATGCGCGCATGTCGTCGCGCCGGATGTTCACAGTGTGATTTTGGTCATAAAAAACAATACAATTTGATTCGACTCAACACACGTCGCGTTTCATCGGGTCGTGTCGCGTTTTAATAATGTGTTTCCGCCTTAAATAGCATTCTGAGTGAATCAAGACTAAGGTTATAATATAGGCACATAGAAGTACCTTATTTAATAGTTAATTATGTTACTTTAAATTTAATACTTACGAACCACAGTAATATAATATGGCTTCCATCTTGTCATAATTTTTATATGACCACACATTTTCATTGGTACAATTATAGCTTCGTAATCTGAAAAATAAATCCAGCAAACCCCTCATCAAACAGGAAAGTTGCTTCTAGGGATGGGATACAATCACAATCTCACGTCATAAATCATATGATTTATAAATAATACATTTACACCTGTGACTGTGTGTTAAAATCCACTGCGACCTATTATTATTACGCTAGCGCAAGACTGGAGGAAAGTCAAAATCTAAAAACAAGTGGTTCTTATGTTTGATAAAAAGAATTTTGATTGATTTTAATGGCATTCATCTTTGTTCATGGCAATATCACAATCACATGTGTAATCGCGTTGACTAAATTCAATCATTTCGTCAAATGAATATGATTTAAAAGTAGCAATAATTTCAATGTCTGGTTAGTTTCTTACATTAAAAAAAAAGACTAACTTTTTTACAACCAATCATCCAATTATCAATTTGACTGGCCTGTTGGTCTAGTGGTCAGTGATCCTGACTGCTGCGCCAGAGGTCGTGGGTTCGATTCCCACCCAGGACAAATAATTGTGTGATGAGCGCGGTCATTTGTTCTGTGTCTGGGTGTACTATATCTATAATATGTATGTATTTAGAAATATATGTGTATGTCTATCAGCAGTCTGGTTACCATAGTACAGGCTCTGCCTAGTTTGGGATCAGACGGCCGTGTGTGAAATGTGTGAAAATATTATTATTATTATTATTATTATCCCTTATTTGGGTTTATGTAGGGTGAAATTTTTTTAAATCCTTTCTTAGTGGGTGCTTACCACATAAAAACATTAATTGCTAAAATTTCAAGTTTGTAGCCCCAACCGTTAAGGTAAACGCTACTACCAAAGATAACGAAGTTAGATAAAAACCTTCAGCCCCTATTTTGCACACTTTGGGGTAGAATTTATGAGTAGCCTTTCTTAGTGCACACGTACGTCACCTAAGGAACATCATCAGCCTTTAATAGTCCACTGCTGGACATAGGCCTCTCCTTAGAAAGGAGGTTTTGGCCTACTACACCACGCTGGCCAGACGGGTTGGTATAGGGTTTGTGTCAAGTTTTCCTTCTTTTTGCAGTGCTAGTGACCTGCGTTGTTTTGCGCCCTTAGTCGGCTCTTACGACACCCACGGGATGAATTGGGGTAGTGACATTCCGTATTCTTAATCCGTCACTACACGGACCTAAGGAAACATAAGGAAACGACTTAGGACACCTAAGGAACATTTGTGCAAAATTTAATGCTTCTAGACCCAGCGGTTTCAGCTGTGCCTTGATCGATCAGTCAGTGAATTAGTCTGTCAGTTTCTTCTTTCATTATGATCATGCTTTGTTTAAAAGACTGAAAAGCCCCGCACAACCAATCTGTGAAACGGGTTATCGTCTGCGGTATTTCCGGACCGATACGACCTTCAAGAAAATGTTCATAGGAGGCGATGGTCACTTTCCATTAGGTGACTCTTCTATTCGTCTGCCCCCTAACATAAATAAAAAAAAACTTTAGTAGTCAGGATCACTTGACTACCCAACAAACCAGTAAATAATGTCAAGTTCTCGATTGAAAGATTACTTAATCATTCACATACCTTTATGGCACTTCATGAACTGTAATTCGCATTTATTTAGAGCAATAACGTGAAACACTTTTTTGATATCCTTTAGATGTTTGATTTTAACACAAGTTGGATCTTCTTGAGCTGAACATTTAATATTTTTACATTTATCATCGATTGTTAGTACAATCGAGGTTCGTAACTCGGCTATTTTGTCGCATTTTGTTGCTTTATAGACTGAAAAAAAAAACCTTAAATTTATCCATAATTATATGTTGTACAAGCATACAGCGTGTAGCTAATAGAATTTGTTTATTAAATGAGAAAAGTAATATTTAAAAAGCCGGTCAGGTACGAGTCGAACTCGTGCGCAGATTTTACGTAGATTTTAGAAAATTTGTAGTGAAAATTTTCGAAAATTTGTAAGTACCAAAATTTATCTTAATTTTCAACGTTTTTTATTTTTTGGAATTCTTCCTTTATTTGTGCTGTAAGACGTTTCTTTTTGCCAAATTTCGTGATTCTAGGTCAACGGGAACTAACATATAGGTTTTCGACCCAAAACCTATAGGGTACTTCCAGTTGACCTAGAATTGTCAATATTTTGGTTAAAAGCACCTTGCTTTTAACCAAAATATTGACAATTCTAGCACAGCACAAGTAAAGAGAAAATTCTAAAAATTAAAAAAGTTGCAAAATTAAGGCAAAGGTTATCGCGAAAATCTAAATTTGCCCATATCTTTTTATCGTGTTGACTCAGGACCTTGATTTTTATACACCTAATAGGGACCATAGACCTCAGTATCTGGTATAAATTTAAACTTGCTAGGTCTACCCGTTCCTGAGAAAATCGGTGGTGACACACGGACAAACGGACAGACGGACAAGAAAGGGATCTTATAAGGGTTCCTTTTTTACTTTTTGAGGTACGGAACCCTAAAACATGTGTCAGATTAGCAATGGCAGGATATAAGCTGAAATCACAAATAAAACTAACTAAAAATTACCACCTCCAAAACTTGATAAAAGAGCGTACTCCAACTTGTAAGGCCCACCACGACACAACTCACCTGTGGCTCTGAAGTTGTAATAGTCCAAGGCCGGACTGCCTATTTGCCTTATCGGCGTTCACTTTCAGCCTTTAATAGTCAGTTGCTGGACATAGGCCTTAGAAAGGAGGTTTTGGCCTAATATACCCCGCTAGCCAGAAGGTTGATAAAGGATTTGTGTCAAGTTTCCTTTTCTTTGCAGTGCTGTTGTGCTGCATAGTTTGCTCCCTTATTCGGCTCTTACGACACCCACGGTATTTATAGGAGTGGTTATACCGTATTGTTAATCCGTCACCATGCGAGTAGCGTCCCGTATTGGCGTTGCTAATGTTGAATTACGATTTAAGACAAACTCCTAACACAACACTCACCTATCAATAGAAACAGAACACGCGCGTTCATTTTATATTACACAACTGACTACAGTCTGATGTGTTACTTAACCTCGACAAGTTTTTGAATTTTTACGACTTTGTAAAGGCTGTCTTTATCTAGAAATCATTATTGAAATGTAATTGACCGTTGCAAGGATTTATGTTTTTAATATAAGATATAAGGCTACACAGTATAAAAACTGGCTATTTTTTTTTTTATTATTTAATTCTTTTTGCACAAACAACAAATGTACAATGGCGGACTTAATGCCAAAGGCATTTTTTATTTATTCATTTATTTATTCATCTTTATGCACTTTTGTACATCGGCAGACTTAATGCCCAGGGCATTCTCTTCCAGTCAACCTTTGGGTGATGTAGAAATCTTGTAAGGTAGGTGCACAGAGGTTACATCATAATATCAAATGTACAATGAAAATATATACGGTTCACTACATATATAAACATATACACACATACTACACTTACACATCATAAATACGCATAGATACACATACATATATATACAAGTATATTTATATAGATACATAGACATATCATATTCGTACACTATGAAAACCTGAATTTGAGGTATACTTAACTATGGATTAGACCGTTCTGCCATTTCTTTAAGAAGGAGAGCATGTACCTTCTTTTTTAATATAAAGCGGTTTGTGGACATCCTGATTTCGAGCGGGAGCGCATTCCAGAGTAGTACTGCTTGAACAAAGAACGAAGAGTTCACGAAGTCGGAGTTGTGAGAGGGACATAACAGAAGCAGATTGTTATCTGAGCGAAGATTTCTGTCATGTTTGCTAGACAGGTAACGTAAGTAGGGAGCAAGGTAAGTAGGTGAGGACGGTGAATTGAGAAATGCAAATAGAGAGGTAAGTGCACGCTGTTTGCGGCGGAGGCGAATATGTAACCAGTTTAATTGGGAACGCAAAGCAGACACATGGTCATACTTCCGAAGTTTGAAGATGTATCGAATGCAGTTATTGAGAAGACGGTCAAGCTTATTTAGAAGGTCGAAGGTCGTAATAACACACATCACCATAGTCAATTATTGGCATTATTAAGGACTGCATGAGCGTAATTTTAGTTTTAGGAGGTAGGAAATTCTTGAGACGATACAATGTTCGCAAATTGCCAGTTTCTTTCTGGCTCACGCTAGTAATTTGAGCTCGCCATTCGAGGAATGAATCGATAACTAAGCACAGGTCTTTGACTACCGGGCTAAATGGAATAATTAAACCATTGTAGACGACCGGTGGGATAGAGTATCCAATCTGCTCATAATCCGTTTGCTGCCTATTATGATTGCCTGACATTCGGTCGGATTAACTGACAGTCCAAATCTCATCGAAAAGGATTCTATGACCTCCAGGTCCCGATTGACCTCGTCAATAGCCCGCGTTACGTCCTCTACCCTTGCCTGTGAGTACAGCTGCAGATCATCAGCATACAGGTGATACGCACACTGAAGATGTTGAGTTAAAATAAAATAAATAAAAACCCTTTATTGTTGTTTTTAGTTTAAATTACAAAAACATATATATATGTGCCTAACTAACTTATTAACTTTATTAGTACTCGTAACTATTTACTATCTTAATTAATTTATTATTAATGAATTAACTGTTATAGTATATTGCGTTAGGCAAACGGTATTCACTCTTCAACTTGTCTTCCGACAAAGGCCTCCTCTAAAGATCTCCATTCTGTCCTATTCTTTGCTGTTGAGTTTTCTTTACTTTGATGTTGAGTTACGAGGTTAATAAATATAGAGAATAAGAGAGGAGATAAAATTCCGCCTTGTGGGACGCCAGCGTGGAGGTCGCACCAACTTGATGATAAGTCATCAACACGAACACATTGCTGTCGCCCCTGAAGATAGGTGGAGAACCATTCCAGTGTCTCAGAAGGAACCATAAGATGGGATAGGATAGATAACAGGATTTCGTGATTGACGGTATTAAAGGCATTAGAGAAGTCAACTAGGACTAATACTGTGACTTTGGTGTCTTCCATGCCCTTCCTAATATCGCCAGTCACTTTAAGGAGAGCGGTAACTGTGCTGTGGCCATTTTCTCCCAGTCTACCTTTGGGTGGTGGGGAAATGTCTGAGTAGGTGCATGAAATTAAAATTAGGTTACATACATACTGAGATACACATACATATATATACTTGCTGAGTTACATACATACATATAGTACATGCGTATATATACATATAACATATAAGACTAGGGATGTGATGAGTCTGCTAGAGTGTCGAGAATTCGAGCTCGGACTTTCGTCTTAAATGAGAGACGATTGGGTGCTATACTGATTTCGCAAGGCAGAGCGTTCCAGAGGAGGACTGATTGGATTAAGAACGAAGAGTGACACACAGATATTCTAACTCAATTTCAAAAAAGACAACTCCTGGAACGCTGTCGTCCTACGACTAGGAATAAATCCTGTGTCACGGAAGACTTCACAAAGATATGGATACAAAGAACGCCCACACTCAAAACAATGTGTCGATCACACAAAGTGTTGTCCCATGTGGGGCTCGAAACCCACAACACGCAGTAGGAAGCGGCAAGGTGACCGCTTAAACCATTACGCCATCCGTGCAGTTATTAAATATCGGAGTGGATTATTGTGTTTTACGGATTAAGAATACAGTGTCAGCACCCTTATTCATCCCATGAGTGTCGTGAAAGGCGACCAAGGGAGCTAACTACGCAGGACAACAGCACTGCGGAGAGCAGGAAAACTTGAAACAAATCACACACATCACATCAACAGCCATTAATAGTCCACTGCTGGGCATAGGCCCCTCCTTAGAAAGGAGGTTTTGGCCTACTATACCACGCTGGCCAGACGGGTTGGTATAGGGTTTGTGTCAAGTTTTCCTTCTCTGTGCAGTGTTGTTGTTCTGCGTAGTTTTTTCCCTTAGTTGACTTTTACAACACCCACGGGATGAATAGGGGTGGTGACAATCTGTATTCTTAATCCGTCACCACACGGATACTTTTTTAAGGCTTCTAATCGGTTTTAATGTGAGCCCGAGTTACTTGAAAAATAGATTAGAGGTTAACAGTATACATAGAAACTGTGTATGTGTATAGTCACTAATCATCATGAGACCCCGTCTGCTAATTAACCCCATAAAAAATACGTATCTTAAAAACTACCCGTATAAGCAACTGCCTGCGGCTCCGCCCGCTTAAATGTCGGTTATTGCGGTAAAAATGCCTATGCCTTTCCTCAAGAATCAAAGTATCTCCATACGAAATTTATTCTAAATCGGTTTAGTGGTTTTTCATTCCTCATACAGACTTCCACCCCCTTTAAGGGTGTTTTGTGTTGATTAAAAACTACCCTATGTCCTTTCCAGGGACTCGGACGATCTTTTTACCAAATTTCATCTAAATCGGTACAGCGGTTTAAGCGTGAAGAGGTGACAGAAAGACAGACAGATAAACAATTGCATTTTTAATATCAGTATGAATACCATATTCCATCAAAAATTTTCCTTTTCGTACCAAAATCGTCCCTGAAAATGGAAAAATTAGGAATAGCCTTTTAGGAATAGCCTAATTTTCCCATTCTAATTGATCATATTATGGTGCCCGTTTGACGGTGATAGGTTGGCGCTTGATGGCCGAAGTAGTTCTGAAATTACAGGTTGCGAAATGTGGGTGTGAGTGAGAACCCCTAAGAGCTGGGGCCGCGGGCTTAAGTCAAAGCCCTAATGGTAAAAAAAGTTATGTCTACATATGCACACGAAAGCTGTATCGTACCTTACCAAATATAATTTACCTTACCAAATATAATTTACCTTACCAAATATAGCTCCGAGATTATCAATTCATCAATGTTGATTATGAAGTTAAAAAATGAAAGGCTATTTTAAACGTAACTATTTATTTTTTGAATTTCAATTACAATTGATGATTAAAATGATTTATTATGTTCTCGGAACCTACGTTTGTCGCTCAAATTGCAACACCACCAGTAATTTTTATGCCGAATTTGGTTTCGTATATGTTTTTATATGGTATACAGTTAAAGGCTCATTTTCAGTGGTCGATAATTCAGTCGTTATACCGCATATGGGGAATCCTAGAATACGGAATAACAATTAATGAAAGTGCGCCTTCGATATCTCAGTCGAATGCGGGTTTTCCCCGCACGCGGTTTAACGACTACTGAAATTCATCGGTTGGTGTAAAGCAAATGGGATGAGGGGATTTAGTGTACGTAGTGTTAGACGCATTAAAAACAGCTGCATAAATACGCGGTAAAGAAATTCAAACATCCAGCATGCGGGTCCCATCGACTAATGAAAACAGTTACAGCATGCGCGCCTTATGGCATGCTCAAACTTAAATCTCCCGTACCCCATATCCCTAGCACCCCAATAATTATTCAGTCCACGTGTGAAATTTAGAATAAACGATTTTGCAAAATGCCTTTAAACAATGTGAATCGTTTACAATGGAAGGTAATTTCATCATTCTCTTAATACAGAAATCTTATATTAAAAGTGTCAAATTATATTGGATAATTGACTAATTCTAACATGAATAAAACTATATATATTGTTTTATTATTATTGTTACAGTCAAAACGCCAAAACGGTCAAAAGTATTTTTTACCAAAATCTTTTAAATTTACTTTTGAATGCAACATCATACTGTTATAACCTCTGGTGTCTGGATCTGGCGCTCGGTGTGCGCTGCCGGCAGCACGCTTGCTTCGCTCGCTCGCTTTCAGCAGTTAATGGTCACTAGTCTAACTTAATCTTACTCAAATGATTCAATCGAAAGGACTATTGCCCAATGCCGGTTAACATACTTTTGAGCAATATAAAGTTCTGTATTATATATAAAACTGGACGGACGGAGATTCCAGATTTTTCTAAGTGTGCATAAAAAAATATCAGTACTGCGGACCTCAATATTCAAAATAATAATAATGATATAAAAGAATTTCCCAAAGACAAAAATTCAAAATCCTTTATTTTTTTTATCACATAGGAGACAAATAGGTTGGCTCTCTAATGTTAAGTGGTTACCGCCGCCCATGGACACCTGCAACGAGGAGTACATTCTTTTCTTGAGGACTTGAAGGTCGTATTGGCCCAGGAATACCGCAGGAGACAATTTATTCCACAGGGTGGTAACAATTAATATTACATCAAACTTAATAATTTGTTATCTAAACATAACGCTTATAAAATGTGACTACACTTACACACATACATTATATTTACAAAATTTTAACAATATATATGGTTTTATCTTACTATGATGATTTCTTTTCACAGTAATCATAAATATCATATTGTCATATCTGAGTTACGTAAACGTATGCATTCATTCATTACGTGACGTCAAACAAAGGCGAAATACAATTTCATGAAATCTCATTTAAACCGAGGGTAGATAGTAATTTATAAAACTTATAAAAACGTCTAAATAGAGAGAGAGACTGACGGCGAAGAACAAGGAAGATACTCCATGAACAATGAGATTTCATGATATTGTATTTCGCCTCTGTTTGATGTCACGCAATGAATGAATGGTAACTTTCTTCTTAAACTAGTGAAAACTGCCCCATTAAAAATCTATTTAGTCAGGCAGATTCCACTGCAAACTTTGTGGAATTCGCCAATGCTCCACTAGTGGGGCGGCTTGGTGACATTAAAATAATGCCTGCCTACTGAGAATTCTCCTAAGTAATCAAATATATCATAAAGATTTTCAGATAAAGTGGAATTAGTGGATACAACGAAATTCTTAGACATGGTATTATTTCATTGAAGCTTAGAATTAAGATAAATCTTTTTATTTTAAGAAATATGAGTGACAGAGTAATCTGCTGTAAACCATTTCCTGTGTTTAAACAGATGAAACTAATTTGCAAACATGGCACCGAATTTTCAATCAGATCTTTTTTTAAGGATGGTCAGGTCACCTGATATTAAGTGACCTTGTGGATACTTGCAACTCAGAGATGTCTCACATCTATCCAATCTATTTAAAAAGACAACTCCCACACTAGGAATAAATCCTGTGTCGCGAGGGACTTTACAAACATATTTGAGCGTACTCCTTCCTAAAAGGCCGGCAACGCGTTTGTGACTCTTGAGTTGCAGACGTTCACGGGCGGCGATAGTCACTTTCCATCAGGTGACCCGTCTGCTCGTCTGCCCCCTCTAACAATAAAAAAAAACATATATGAAACGGACACAAAGAACACCCAGACTCAGAACAACAATTTGTGGATCACACAAAGTGTCGTCCCATGTGGGGATCGGACCCACAATACTTAGTGTAGTAGTAAGCGGCGTGCCGACTGCTTAAAACACTACGCTATCCGTGCAGTCAAACACACACAAGGACACAAGTGCTTTACCACTATTTGAGTGTTCTCCACCAGGAAAGGTGTTTAGAACTCCAGTAACCTCACACACTCAGTGAAAAGTAACAATAGAATTGCTAAAACAAAAATGGCCCTCTTTTTAAGAAACGGGTAATTCCCGCATTGTTTGCTGTTTCGCGAGGACCTTCAAATATAAGACATACATCACATTTATATTTTATTAGACAAGACCAAATTAATTACTGTCCCGTGTCAATTTAACCAACTCGCTGTTTTATCTATTCATCTAGATATACATAGTAATTAATCTGATCGCATATGATTACGAATATGTTTTAACACGTGTGACTTAGCGCGAAATTTTTTCTTGCATATATCACATTTATATGGTTTCTCACCGGTGTGTATTCTATAATGTATCAAATAACAACGCCGTTTGGTATAACTCTTAGGACATACATCACATTTATATACTTTTTTACCGGCATGCATCGGATAATGTCTTAACAAATCGCAATGCCTAGCGTAACAATTATTACATAAATCACATTTAAATGGTTTTTCCCCATGGTTACTGCGTACGTGATGTTTCAAGTCAGTTTTACTGGTGTATACTTCGCTACAGTATTCGCACACGCAACTTTTCCAATCTACGTGTTTTAGAACAATGTGTTCGTTCAAACGAATTTGAACCATAAACCCCTCATCGCATTTGCTACATGGAAACGGTTTTTGATGTGTGTGATTCTGTACAATGTGATTGGCCAAACTAGGTTTACTGGTAAAACTTTTCTCACATAGATTACACTTCAAAGGTTTCTCACCGGTGTGTGAGTACATATGTCTTACTAAGTGCGCCCTTCGAGCAAAATCTTTGCGACAATATCTACAAGCATACGGTTTATTCACATAAGTGTCCGTTGTTTTACTTTTGACGCATTTTTTAAATTTCACTTTGCCATTTGAACGATAGTCTCTTGAATTTTCTTCAGCATCTGATGATCCTTGCTCGAGTGGTTTAAGTTCTGGTAAGATAGATAGATGACACTTAACAAGTTCCTTACTGTTATGTGTTTTCATGTGTCTTGTTAAGTGGTCCCTTCGAACAAAAGCTTTTCCACAATAGCTACAACTGTACGGTTTGCCTGTATAAGAGTCTGTTGTCTCTGTTGTAACGCGTTGTTTACATTTGACTTTGCCATCTGAACGATAGTCTATCGTTTTTTCTTCATCATCTGACGATCCTTGCTCAACTGTTTTAAGTTCACCCATCAAAGAGCTTTTTATATTTTCTATCTGGTCGGCTGGTTTGTTATCTTTAAGGATTTGGATGCCTACACAAAAGAAAAGGTTACATGTTAATTTGAGATATGAAGTTTTAAGTATTAGAGCCCTTTCACATATGCGCAGCGCAGACGTCGCGATATCGTGGCGTCTACGCTAGGCTAGTGTGAAAGGGCCCATTAAAAACGTTTTGAATTTGGATATAAACGAGAAGTCGGGTCACTACCGTTGGTGACTACCGAAGCCTAAGGTCACCTGCAGCTCCCCCTTTAAATTGATTTAGTAATCTGTGTTATGCATGCATAATACCGAGTGTTACAAAACCACCAATCAGAGGTCAAACTAACACGTTTAGAGGTGAAAATAGTGGTTATACGGTTACGTCTTATTGCCTCTTTAATTTTAAAATAAAATTAGGATCCTACAAAAAAAATATGACCGTGAAATTAAAAGGACCTTGCAATACAGATCAGAGTTTACCCATTCATAATATAAGGTCCCCAAGTTCCAGGAAAAAACCCTAAAACTTGTAGCTTTTCTCTTGGCTAAAGAGAATAATCAATTTCCTATGGGTTGACCTTGGATTAGTGACCTTTAGAGGTCAAAATTTGCGTATTAAAAAGGTCATATCGAATTGAAATTTTTTCCTCTCTTTTCAATTCCGGACTAAAAAATATGCAATGCCATTTGTAAAGTGAGATAACCTTCAAGGTTTTGATAAAGGTCAATTTCAAGGTCACCAATGGATAGCCAGGGAAAATTCCTGTAACATTTGTGTTTAACGTATTATCCGAAAAATGCAGCCCTAGCGAATTATTCTGCTGTTCCAGTTCTCTTCTAACATCCTGTATATTACACTACAGTTTCACCCATGTTTATCAATCTCAAACTATATGAATTTTATAAGAATTTTTTAAATCGTGTTTTATGTACACTAAAGTCATAGCTCAACAAACACAATAACAACAATCTGTTTTGACAAATATTTAGCAAAATAAATACAAATACATATCGAAAATTTATTTACGGCCTGTACCGATCTACAATCGCCCGTTTCCAAGGGGTTGGGCCTTATGGGATGAAAGGGCATAAAAACTCTGATTGCTGTTCTTCCCTTAAGTCTTAGCGTGATGTTAAACCACCTATGACTCGGTAATTGGGATATTGAAATTCTAAAAGATTTTTTTTAAATCGCCCTGGCAGTCCCAGAGATCGCTTTCAACAAAAATAAGAAATTGACAGGAGTTAGATGAATTTGGATTGGATAGGATCTGATATGATGATGGACTGAAAGGGGTTTTCAGATAGAACTGTTCAGCGGCTACTAGTCCTACATAGGCTTAGATGGTTGCTTTTGAGTTCTACAGATTAGACTAGATAACGTAGATCTGATGATGAAAGCAGGAGTTGGATAGTGGAATTCTTTTTTACTCGGTTTGTCAGTTTTGGATGTTTTGTTTGATTTCAATGACCTTGGAACTTGAATAACTTGAAATCTCATTGTATAAGCTTTATAGTATCACAGATCATAATATATTTCTGCCTTGCTTTGCTCGGTTTTTTTTTTGGTAAATTTTCTAAAAATGAAACCTAGCTACATCGATTAATCACCCTCGAAAACCCCCCCAAACATACTAAATTGTTGTACATTTCTACAATATTTCTTCGTATAAAAAGACAACTTCCGCATTAGGAATATATCCTGTGTCGCGGGGGACTTCACAAACATACACGAAACGAACACAAAGAACACCCAGACTCAGAATGACAATTTGTGGATCACACAAAGTGTCGTTCCTATTGTGTGTAGGAAACGGCGTGGCGACCGCTTTAACCACTACGCCATCCGTGCAGTCCAAATTAATTTGGTGAATATTAGCCTGTACAATGTCATTCGTTCCACACTTATCAGTGTGGAACAGCCGAGGTACGCCTTACGCCGCAATACAGTTCTGGGTACCACATAATACTTACTTCAAGTTATACTCTTCAAGAAGATCTTGACAGGGTAATTTAGAGTAATGGAATTATCTCACACATGGCCGTCTGATCCCAAACTAGGCAGAACCTGTACTATGGTAACCAGACTGCTGATAAACATACTTAGGTATATGTTTTTAAATGGATACATATTATAGATAAGCTACACCCAGACACAGAACAAATGACCGTGCTCACCACACGATATTTTTCCTTTGTGGGAATCGAACCCACGACCTCCGGTTTAGCAGTCAGGGTCACTAACCACTAGACCAACAGGCCCGTCGATAATGTTAAACAACTTCTTTTAAACTATCTCAAGTTGAAACACATTATTGTCATAAATAGGATCCCATATTGGGAAGTCTAGTTCATCTGGTTGCAGAGTCGTACATTTGATTAGTTTTTTTTTATATTATTGGACATCTAACTCGCAACGCCATCTAGTTTCAAACTAAGCAAAGCTTGTACTCTGAAAACTAGATTGACTGATAGAATACTTTTAAACTTTTGTAAATACATAGAAAACATCCAAACTGCGAAACAAATATTCGCAGATCATACGTGTGGTGACGGATTAAGAATACTGAATGTCACCATCCCTATTCATCCCGTGGGTGTCGTAAGAGGCGACTAAGGGAGAAAACTAGCAGGATAACAGCACTGCAAAGAGAAGGAAAACTTAACACAAACCCTATACCAACCCGTCTGGCCAGCGTGGCTTAAACCTTCTTTCTAAGGAGAGGCCTGTGTCCAGCAGTGGACAAGTAAAGGCTGTTGATGTGATACAGACATTTGGTCCGACCCGGGAATCGAACCCGAGACCTCAGCACGCCAGTCGTCGCATACGCTACCACTGCGGCAGTCAACTGCTTATAATATTGTCTATACGTAGGTTTAGATGTAATTTTGAGTCAATATTGACATCCAAGTTGCGGATGTAGTGAGCCTTCTGTAATGTCGTGTAAAATGGAATTACGTATTACTTTATTTTTTGTGTTATTTTTGCTTTATAGAAAAGGTTAGTTAAAGTCATCCTGTAAGAGTAAGCAGTTTTGTAAGGTTGCGTCCATTAATTACGTAAGGGGCTTTCGGCGCTTTTCTGACATCCCCCTCCCCCCTGGTGAGATGTTGTGAGATTTGATTCAACCCCCTCATCAATCCCCCAATCTCACGTAAGTTTTTTTTAAATGTGTTTTTAGTGTAAATGCAGTGTAAAGGGTGGCGGTAGCGCTACACTCGCAATACCATGATAAATATTATTGTATAAGACTTAGATATAAGACTTGGACCATATTTCCGTGGAGGAACATGTTTTACTTAATTTAACCCAGTTTTCTAGCAATTTTAATCTGTTTCTTGCGGATAAAAAACTACGTGATATTTTCCAACCCCCTCCTCCTCAAAGTAAGATTAGATGAGATTCGGTTCGACCCCCTCCCCCCTCCTGAACGCCTCACGTGATTAATGGACGGCCCCTAAGCTATGGCTCTCTTTGAAATTTTGTGACTTAGTAATACAATGTTCAATATTATCGACAAACAGAATAAAAATAATAGGGCCTAATATTGATCCCTGTGGTACCCCGACAGTGAAGGTTGTTGGATTAGATTAGATCATTTATTAAACCAAACACCTATAATTAAACCAAATAATTATTAAAACATAAACTAAAAAATTTAAAAACCAAATTATAATAAACTTCAACTTATACAAATGTAACAAAAATACTTTGGGACAAGTAGTAGTAGAACTCTGGTACCCGTGATAAGATAGAAAATAATATATTAATTTAAAAAAAAAAAGAATTAAACAAAGCTATGCACAGTTAACGATTCTCCTGGTAATAAAAAACAATAATAAACCCAAATACATATTTGACGATAATTTCCATTTAAAAAAAACACTAGACGTACCCTGCCACGTTTCGCTGTGGCACATTAAAACTTCATTAATGAGAAATAATGAACAAAACTGAAGCAAAAAATAAATAAAAATAATACTGAAAGCGGTTTGCGTATCTTGAACAAATTTGAGCTCAATTTATTGGTGTAGATCTTTTTGAGTTTTTGAACCGTACACACACCAACTTAACATTTTTACATAGATCACAAAATGAAAATTTTGCGAAAGGGACATTCTGCGACGATGCCGATTTAACTCGTGTTATGGGTACCAGGGCTCTCTCACAAGGTAACAACATCATCTACGTAATTATAAGTGGACCCATGAAGTAGACAAGCACAAAAAAAAACAAACTAAACTAGAACTCATACGAGTATTAGTATAAAATTAGAACATGCTAACAAAAATTACGTATCTTAGGTGTAACAAAACAAAGAACATAACAAAAAATAATTAAAATTAATGTAATATAATTAAAATTTGAAAAATTAAAAGCTTAAATAAGATTAAAACAGTAGTTTTCATAGCATACATTCAAAAACATCGTATGGTGACGGATTAAGAATACGGAATGTCACCACCCCTATTCATCCCGTGGGTGTCGTAAGAGCCGACTAAGGGAGCAAACTACGCAGGACAACAGCACTGCAAAGAGAAGAAAAACTTGACACAAACCCTATACCAACCCGTCTGGCCAGCGTGGTATAGTAAGCCAAAACCTCCTTTCTAAGGAGAGGCCTATGTCCAGTAGGACTACTGTAGGCTGTTGATGATTCAAAAACAAATGCATCACAATTTTAGATATTAAATATTATTGGCTTGATGAAAAAGATGTTACTAATGGGCCAGAATGTTTAAGACAGCATTAGATTAGAGTGGATAAATATTGCACCATTTGTTAATTAGACTTCTATAGGTCACTGGACATATCTGATGAGCTCGACGTCTTCTCAACTTAGTTTAGTTCATAATGCAACGTCATATGCTTTCTAAAAACTAGTTTAGCACCTAACATTCCTCATAAAGCATGGAGGTTTGGTGTCTGAGCGGTTTCAATGTAAATTCCTATAAAACAGATCGCGTGCTCATTCCAGTTCGAAAAAAAAATTTTGCTCCACTTTCTCATGGTGTAATGCAGTATGCAGGTCTTAAAGGTACTGTAATT